GACACCGTTCTTCTCTCTCTCTCTCTCTCTCTCTCTCGCTCCCTCGGACTGTACACGCATTATACGCAGACGCACATGCATATATCGTACACATACTTTGCACATTCACACACGCACGTTGCCGCGATCGGCACCGCTGAGAAGATCGTCGGGAAGCGGAGTCTCATCCGACTGTCTGGATATATGTAGCTCTTTTCTCGCCTGCTCCGAAACACTCGCGGAGAAGGGAAAGAAAAAAAAAAATTTGAGCGATGACGAAAGATCCTCTGCCGCGACTCTCCCCTCGTCCTTATCTTCTCGTCGAGCCGGCCACGTTTCGACCGCGAAATACGAATTTGATCGCGAAGGCGAGGCGATTGACAGCACGGGTGGACGTCCGGACTGGAATGAACGCACCTACCACGTGTGTGCCAGCACACCGTTCGGCGAAAGAGAGAGAGAGAAAGAGGGAGGAAGAAAGGCGCACGAGGGCTTCCCGTCTAGTTGCTCGTGCCCGCGAAACAATCCTCAGTGCGGCAAGTTCGAGGTCGGACGAACCGCGATGACACGATAAGCATAATCACTGTCGCGCAGCATCACGCGGGGAGCAGCTGCCTGCTTCGTAAAACGGGCGAACGACGACGGGCGGAAGGGAAATTCGAAAGCGGGATGAAAGCGCGAAATAGTGCGAAAAGGGGGAAGAGAGAGAGCGAGAGTGTGAAAAAGAGGGCGGCGGGAGAGGGAGACGCGAGGAGGAGCCGGCGGAAAAAAAAAAAGAGAGACGTGCGTAACGTAAACCGGCGCGTTTACAGTGACACGACGAGCCGACGAAGCACCAAGTACGGGCTGCTGTTCCCGAGCCTGGTTAGGACTAGCATGCGGGGGGAAGGCTCCCGCTTCGCCCGCCGTTATTCTTTATCGGAGCATGAGACATCTGTCGTAATAAGTGCGGACTAAAAAATAGTGCGTACGCAGAGAAAGAGAGCGTGAGAGCCGGGAAGGCGCGCGAGAGCGAGAGAACCGGCCACCGGGAGTGCCATGGTGGGAGAGGTTGATGCTTGCGGCCGCGGCGGCTGTTTCTCTCCCCGTGTACCCCGCAATCTTGGTCTCTTCCCTCTGCCGCACTCACACACACACACAC